CTTCTTCCCTCCCTCTTTCCTTAAATAGAAGAGACTTATGTGGGCTTATTTACCATGGAGGAAGAGCCATAGACACAGGTTGGAGAGGGGTGTGGTTTGGTGGATCAAGGTCTCAGTGGAGGTGGGAGGACAGCGATCTGAGCACAGGTAGAGGGATTAGCTTTGAACTGGAGAGGGCACCTTAACCTTGGTTGTGTAGGAGAATTGGTGTAGATGTCACTGTTTGTCAGTAGGAGGTGGGAAATTGAAATTATTCATTCTTCATTGCCTAATCTCTGTGAAAAACAGAAGTCACTTTGAGCATGAGGAAGGCAGAAAATTAGTGTGTAGGTAGCTGGGCGCTCACGCCTGTAATCTTACGACTTTGGGAGGCTGAGGCAGGGGAATCACCTGAGGTCAGGAGTTTGAGACCAGCCTGGCCAACATGGTGAAACCCCGTCTCTACTAAAAATAGAAAAATTAGGCGGGTGGGATGGCGGGCGCCTGTAATCCCAGCTACTCGGGAGGCTGAGGCAGAAGAATCGCTTGAACCCAGGAGGCGGAGGTTGTGGTGAGTCGAGATTGGGCCACTGCACTGTAGCCTGGGTGACACAGTGAGAACTCTGTCTCAAAAAAAAAAAAAAAAGAAAGAAAAATGTGTTGAATGAACAAATAAGAGGTTGTATGAGCACCAACCCCTGTGTTTAGAGCAGAGAAAGGGATATAGTTGGATGGATCCAGGCTGTGGATTGAGAATACGATCGTGAATGGAGGGTTGAGTGTGCTGATGAGATAGGGGTTGATATGATGATCTTGAAGCACAGTCTGGAAAGAAAATGAAGTGTCAAGTAGTGGGAAAACAGAAGGGCCAAAAGCTTTGTGAAAAAAACCCAATAAACTGTTTTTTGTTGTCATTGTTTTTTTTTTTTTTTTTTTTTTTTTTTTTGAGATGGAGTCTTGCTGTGTCACCCAGGCTGGAGTGCAGTGGCCCGATCTCTGCTCACTGCAAGCTCCGCCTCCTGGGTTCAAGCCATTCTCCTGCTTCAGCCTCCCGAGTAGCTGGGACTACAGGCGCCCGCCACCACGCCCGGCTAATTTTTTAGTAGAGACGGGATTTCACCGTGTCAGCCAGGATGGTCTCGATCTCCTGACCTTGTGATCCGTCCATCTCGGTCTCCCAAAGTGTTGGGATTACAGGCGTGAGCCGCCACGCCCCACCATAAGCTTTTTTTTTTTTTTTTTTTTAGTGGCTATTATAACTGACTACATGAAAATAGAAAATTGTCCTAGTGTATGAACCTAAAAAGCAAAAATAATTTTTTTTTTTAGAGATGGAGTTTTGTTCTTGTTACCCTGGCTAGAGTGCTGTGGCACGATCTTGGCTCACTGCAACCTCTGTCTCCCAGGTTCAAGTGATTCTCCTGCTTCAGCCTCCCAAGTAGCTGGGATTACAGGCGCGCACTACCATGCCCAGCTAATTTTTTGTATTTTTGGTAGAGACAGGGTTTCACTATGTTGACCAGGCTGGTCTGGAACTCCTGATCTCAGGTGATCCACCCTCCTTGGCCTCCCAAAGTGCTGGGATTACAAATTACAGGTGTAAGTCACTGCGCCCGGCCTTAAGAAAGAAAAATTTAAAACATTTATGTATTATTAAAAATACAGGAAGCCGAATGTTTGGAACTAGACAGAGGTGATAGTTGGTGTACAACATCGTGAATATACTAAATGCCATTGAATTGGACTATTTATTTATATTTATTTATTTGTTTATTTATTTATTTATTGAGACAGAGTTTCGCTCTTGTCGCCGATGCTGGAGTGCAATGGTGAGATATTGGCTCTATAAAAATACAAAAATTAGGCCGGGCGCGGTGGCTCACGCCTGAAATCCCAGCACTTTGGGAGGCCGAGGCGGGCGGATCACAAGGTCAGGAGATCAAGACCACAGTGAAACCCCATCTCTACTAAAAATACAAAAAATGAGCCGGGCGCGGTGGCGGGCGCCTGTAGTCCCAGCTGCTTGGGAGGCTGAGGCAGGAGAATGTCGTGAACCCGGGAGGCGGAGCTTGCAGTGAGCCAAGATCATGCCACCGCACTTCAGCTTGGGGGACAGAGCGAGACTCCGTCTCAAAACAAAAAAAAAAAACAAAAAAACCCCACAAAAATTAGCCGGGCATGGTGGCATTCACTTGTAATCACAGCTATCTGGGAGGCTGAGGCAGGAGAACGGCTTGAACCTGGGAGGTGGAGGTTGCAGTGAGTGGAGATTGCCCCAGTGGACTCCGGCCTGGGTGGCAAAATGAGACTCCATCTCAAAAAAAGATAATCAATCAATAAAATAAAAAGGGCAGTTTTTCAAAGTGTGTACTAATTAAAAATCTAGATTTTTGGATTCTTCTTGGGACCTTCTGACTCAGAATCTGGAAAGGTGGAGCCTGACTCTGGATTTTTACCATGGCACCCCGAGGGTTCTGATTCTCCTGAAAAAAAGTTGAGATCGGCTGGGCGCGGTGGCTCACACCTGTAATCCCAGCACTTTGGGGGGACCCAGGTGGGCGGATCAGGAGATCAGGTGTTCGAGACCAGCCTGGCCAATATGGTGAAACCTTGTCTCTACTAAAAATACAAAAATTAGGTGGTCGTGGTGGTGTGCGCCTGTAGTCCCAGTCACTCGGGAAGCTGAGGCAGAAGAATTGCTTGAACCCGGGAGACGAAGGTTGCAGTGAGCCAAGATTGTGCCGTTGCACTCCAGCCTGGGTGACAAAACGAGACACCATCTCAAAAAAAAAGGCCGGGCGCGGTGGCTCACGCCTGTAATTCCAGCACTTTGGAAGGCCGAGGTGGGTGAATCATGAGGTCAGGAGTTCAAGACCAGCCTGGCCAACATGGTGAATCCCCATCTGTACTAAAAATACAAAAATTAGCTGGGTGTGGTGGCGGGCGCCTGTAATCCTAGCTCCTGGGGAGACTGAGGCAGGAGAATTGCTTGAACCCAGGAGGCAGAGGTTGTAGTGAGCCAAGATCATGCCATTGCACTCCAGCCTGGGTGACAGAGCAAGACTTTGTCTCAAAAAAAAAAAAAAAAAGCCAGGCGCGGTGGCTCAAGCCTGTAATCCCAGCACTTTGGGAGGCCGAGGCGGGCGGATCACGAGCTCAGGAGATCAAGACCATCCTGGCTAACACGGTGAAACCCCGTCTCTACTAAAAAATACAAAAAAACTAGCCGGTGAGGTGGTAGGCGCCTGTAGTCCCAGCTACTCGGGAGGCTGAGGCAGGAGAATGGCGTAAACCTGGGAGGCAGAGCTTGCAGTGAGCTGAGATCCGGCCACTGCACTCCAGCCTGGGCGACAGAGCGAGACTCCGTCTCAAAAAAAAAAAAAAAAAAAATGGAGGTCCCTGGGCTTAGAGGTCAAGGAGCAGGTGCACAGGAACGGGAGGGATGCTGGAGATGGTTTTAGAGGGGATGGTTCTTCTGCATGAGAAAGTCCAGGGTCTGCAGGGGAGGCTGCTGCTGTGGCGGGGTAAGCAAGGTCACGGGCCTTTGGGCAGCACTTAAAGCTTGTGGGTAAATGGCGATTTAACTAGACGTTATAAGCCATAACATAGACTAAAGGCCTGTGCGAGCCGCCCCCATCTGGCTCAGCAGCCAGAAGGAACGACTTTGCCTCTGGCTGTGTCTGTCCCAGTCTCTCTGGCCTCTTCAGGTTCCAGATGTTCTGTTTCCTCCTGCCTTCACACGACACTGCCATTGCCCCGAACGCTCATCCCTGCACCGTCCCCGAACTCCCCTCATCTTTCACTTCTCTGCTTAAAGGTCACTTTCTCAGGGAAATCTTCCCCAAACCCAGCCTAGCTCAGAACTCCCTGTCACGCGTTCTCCTAGCTCCGGTACTTCTCCTCTGAAGCATAGATATTGTAGTTACGTAACCAGGGAGGCCGGGCACGGTATCTCACACCTGTAATCCCAGCACTTTGGGAGGCCGAGGCGGGTGGATCACTTGAGGTGAGGAGTTTGAGAACAGCCTGACCAACATGGCGAAACACCGTATCTACTAAAAATACAAAAATTAGCTGGGAGTCGTGGCAGGCACCTGTAATCCCAGCTACTCGGGAGGAGAATCGCTTGAACCCGGGAGGTGGAGGTTACAGTGAGCCAAGATGGCATCATCGCACTCCAGCCTGGGCGACAGACCGAGACTCGGTCTCAAAAAAAAAAAAAAAAAAGGGAATGAATTAAGGTTTTTTTTCCTTCTACTGCTATACTACGCCTCGTACCTTGTAGGGACTCAAATCAAGATTGTTTGTGGAATGAATGAAGGAGCTTTAGGAGGAAGGTTGGGCTACATGAGTGGAAGCAGATGATGGAGGTGAGAAATGTTCATGGAGTGATGCTAACTCCCTCCAGGCGAGCCTGGGGCTTCGGTAAAGCCTCAGGGAGTCCCTGATGAATGTCCCAGGAGCAGCACTAGGATGTGATCCCTAGGACAGGGCCTCATGGCAGCACGACGTTCTTGCTGCCCAAGCCTCAGCTTCTGTGTTAGAATGTAGGTACCAGACTCCAGAGACGTCCTGTGGCTTTTCTGGCGAGGCCCGCGGTTGTGGCCCCACCGAGCCACAGGAGCACACTGCTTGAGCAACCATAAGGAACAGTGGAAATGAACACGACTCGGTCACAACAGGTCACAGGTGGTCATGCATGTCAGCCGCAACAGGGAACAGCCTGCCTGGCTAGCTCCTGTGAGCGTCTGTCTGCGGGCGGGTTAACTATTACGACCCCTATAAATGACTAAGTTTACTTTGTGGTCTTATCAAGCCTCACCCCTGAGTTTGGACTAAGTCAAGTTTTGATGTTTACCTTGGAACACAGCCACAGCACAGTCATCCCATAAGCATTTACTGAGAGCCTCTGTGTCAGGTGCCTTTTGGGTGCGGAAGAGAGACTGGGTCCTCCCCCACAAGCTAACAGAATCATGGACAAGCACAGTATACACTCTCTAAACACTATAGAGAAAACACACTCATGCTTAGTAAAAGATTTATTTTTTTCTTTATGCTCAGAAACAAAGAAACAGCCTTGTCCACAAAGGGTCTCCTCGTGAAGGAATGGGGGCAGACGGAGTGATCATGGGAGGTGTTGGTGTGAGGTTGAGTGGGAGTTTTGTCTCCCTCTTTCCCTCCTGTCACTCCTCTTTTTACTGTCCCCTTCCAGAAAATTTAGGTATGAACACAGCTTGCCACCCACTGCGGGGCTGGAGAAGCAGAGCTGCAGTCAAAAAATTAATGCCCACATTCAGCAAGAGAGGGTCCAGTGCGTATCATGGTGGGGGGTGCGGGGGAGAGTGAAGGGGTTGGTTGAAGAAGCTTCCAGGTGGAGGGGAAGGGAAGAGAGGCTGGGACAATCCCCCAGTGACAGTGGGGATCTTGGTCCTGTCTTCACCTCTTCCAACCCCATCCCCTCCCTTCTTCCCGCCCTGCTTCCTAGCAGAGTTGGTCATCATAGTCGTCATCCTTCATCCCCTTCAGCCGAAGCCGGGCAAAGTCCTCAAACACAATGTCATCATCTGTGGCATAGCTTGGTGGTGGGAAAGAGGGGTGTGAGGTGAGGGCTTCTGACACTTTTCCTAGCCTCCCACTCCCTGCCCTCCCCCAGGCTGGGCCTCTGCGACAGAGGCGTTCGAACAGCAGTGGGACCAGAGGTATTCACAGGAAGGGACAAAGAAAAGGCAGCAAGAGGCAGCCTCACAAGGCTAAGCATCTTGATTTGACGCCGCAATCCCCTTCTCCCCCCAGAAAGCGAGGAAGAGGTATGAGGGCAGATTTGAATGTGACAGGAATCTTTGTCCCAAGAGGGTGACGTAGGGGAATGAGTTTCTTACTTGGTATCAAATTCAATGAGGTTGGTGTCCACGGGGACGTCTGTCTCCGGAGCGGCTGGGGGGACGGGAAGAGGGGGTGTGGGGGTGGGTGCTGGAAGGGCCAGTTTTCCTCCACTGGCCCTGCTTGAGGCCCTCCCTCTGAGGGCTTGGGGTGGGCGGTGTGCTCACCTGACTGGGGTCTGGGGAGGGGGGTGTGGTCGCGGGGCTTGGGGTGCATAAGAACAAAAGGCAGCTCCACAGACACATCCCTGGGGAAGGGGAGAGGGATCGTGAAGAGGATGACGACACAGGACTATCGAGAGCCAGTGTGACCCCCACCCAGGACCCCCCATGACACTCACCCGCCTCGAGACACCACCAGCTTCACCTTGACCCTGTAGGACACCAGGATTCCCAGCACCTCCTTGTTGGCACCCTCCTTCACGCTGCAATTGCGGTGGTGGAGTCAGACCAGGGCCCATCCCCCTGTCACCTGGCCCACCGTGGGGTTCCCATGGGGCCTCTGGGCAGGACCACAAACTCGCACAGGCCCGCGGGGCCCCAGCAGCCCGGGCGTGCGGTTACGGTACAGTGCGCGCTGCACTCCCCGTGCAGAGCCTCCTGTGGTTTCTCTCCCGTAAAAGCTGACGTCCTTCTCCGCTAACAGCACTGCACCGTCTGGCTCTCCATTAGCCCCTGACCTCACCTCCTCCTCCTCTCCTGCTACTTAGTTCTTGGTAAGTTGCCTTCCGGGCCTGTTGTATGTGGCTGTGCAGTGAGAACCCTGAACAAAGGCACCGGGGAAGGTGAAATCCAGCCCTTTGTGAAGCTGAGGACCTCCAGGGCTGCTCCTGCCCGAGGGCACGATGGCACCTCCCCATTCCTCCAACACTCCAGGCTGCCCCACCTCTGAGTCTTTGTTTTTTCTCTGCCCAGAACTGTCCTTTCCTGCTCACCCATGTTGCTTACTTCCGCTGGGTCCTTACTCCCAATTCACCTTTGCATCTCACTGCGCCCCATCCCTCCCTTCCCTGCCTGCTTTTTCTCCTTCATACTTGTCACTAAACCTGCTGTACAGTGACCACTGATCGGATTTGTCTAGCCTCCCTCTCCTAGAATGTAAGAGTTCTTTTTGTCTCTTCTGTTCACTGTACCTCCCTGGCACCTAGGATAGGGCCTGGCACATAGTTAGCACTCAACTGACGTCTGGCCCCTGGCCTGCGGGGGACCCGCCCCAGCCCCACCCTCACATGGTGCTGGAAGCCAGGTTGGTGTCCTCGTGTTTGAGTTTCCCATCCAGGGCGAGACCCCGCTTCTCCCGGTTGTCACTGAGCAGCGGGGTGATGGTGTACACCTTACAGAACGTGGAGCTGGGAGATACCTGGTCACTGGGGGTGGGAACAAGAGAACAAGACGCTTCAGGGGGCTGGACTGGGCGAGGGGCGGCCTATCACTCCCAAGCAGCATCTCCCCTTCACCAGTCCCTTCTCTCTTTGGGCACAGGTCACAAGGGAGTAGGTTGTGGCTCAACGTGCTCAAGAAAATTAGCAACCCAGAGGTGCCTGGTTGTAGAGGGAATACCCTTTTAAGTGAAGATGGTGCTTGGTCACAGTGGCTCACGCCTGTAATCCCAGCACTTTGAGAGGCCATGGCGGGTGGGTCACTTGAGGTCAGGGGTTCAAGACTAGCCTGGCTAACACGGTGAAACCCGTCTCTACTAAAAATACAAAAAAAATTAGCCTGGCGTGGTGGCGGGCGCCTGTAATCCCAGCTACTCGGGAGGCTGAGGCAGGAGAATGGCTTGAACCCGGGAGGCGGAGCTTGCAGTGAGCTGAGATCACACCACTGCACTCCAGCCTGGGCGACAGAGCGAGACTCCGTCTCAAAAATAAATAAATAAATAAATAAAAATAAGCCAGGTATGGTGTTGCATGCCTGTAGTCCCAGCTACTTGGGAGGCTGAGGCAGGATAATCGTCTGAACCTGGGAGGTGGAGGTTGCAGTGAGCAGAGGTCGCCCCATCACACTTCAGGCTGGGCAACAAGAGCAATAATTCCATCTCAAAAAAAAAAAAAAAAAAAAAAATAGTGGCGATGGCTCAGGAAGAATTCTTCCCCCACCTCACACTCTCCCGATCCTGCTCTTCTCCCCCAGACTGGGAACTGGGTCTCTCCCGATACTCACTCTTGTTCGAGTTGAGCCACAGGACACTTGTACTGGGCGGTGCTGAAGAGGCAGATGTCGGCGTACTGTCTCACTGTGGGGGGGGACAGGGTCAGGCAGCTCTGGATGGAGCACAAGCCACCCCCACAACACAACTCCAGACCCCGTGGCGTGGCCCCTCCATGCTCCCCCCTGGAAGCAGTAAACACTGAGGCTCCCTGTATCATTCTGGAACAACCTAAATTCTTTGAGCCCTGGTGGGTCTCCCGCCCTGGGAAATGGCCTGGGCTGAGATCACACCAGGAGCCACCTGTGCAGTAACACCCTCCCCAAAGACCCCCTTCCAAACCCCACCTCCTACCAGAGACTTTGATCTTCTTGACGGTCTTGGTGGAGTTGTTGGTGACGTGGACATTTACATTGAGGGGCTCCCCATGGTAGTACAGCTTTTGGGGGGAGGGGGTCATATGAATTGGATCTGGTTTTTACTGGTCCCATCATCAGTGTGTCCCCAAACACAACACATTGTTCTGGCCCCCTCCCATCAAACCCAAGCATACGGCAACTCTCCACATCCAGCCAAGGCAACCTCCTTTACAAATGTCATCTTGACGTGTGGCTTCGCCCCCCCTCCCCTGGGTCTAAACTGCACCGTGGCATCCGCGTCACCCTCTCACACCCCACCTCCTTGTCCAGGGAAGCCTCGAGGTGCAGGGACCGGTCAGACATGAGGAAGTGGCGTGTGGTTTCTGCTGAAGGCTGGGGGCCGGGTTTCTCTGGGGCAAACTGCACCTTTCGGATCACCAGTCGCACAGAGTTCCTGGGATGGGGATGGGGGCAGAAGGGGGTCAATCCTCAGACACCTAGACCCCTACTCCTCCCCCGCACGGGGCCTGGGCTCCTGGAAAGCCTCCTCTTACATCATAGAGGAGGTCGCGTCCCTCACCTTTTGTGGCTTTTCTCCTCTAGTGATTTAGCACAGAAGGCTCGAATCTCAAAGTCTACGCCGCAGGCCTCGGGAGGGGGAGAAAAGGCCACATCTTACCCAAGGCTCCCGCCACCATCACTCCCCTTCCTTCCTCCCCCTTCCCTCCTCTTGGGCAGGGATGCTTGCCCCATTGTGGTCTCACGACCCTGGCGACCAAGTCTTCCTCTCCAAAGCCCCGAACCTGGCAGAGGCTTGGTCATGGTAGTGCAAGGGGCAAGGGGAGCCCCCATCCCCAGATCCATGCAGGTCCAGAGAGCAGGAGGCAGGGTCACGCGTGCATCACCATACACACCCCACTTCCACGGAGACACTGGCCTACCCTCGGCCCCACCCTGGCATCTCGACAGTTCACCCTCTGGCTCAGCTGTGCCTCCAGGCTCCTGCTGGCCCCTGTCCTGCCCTGGGAGCCCTCAGAGCTGTTCCTCCCATACCTTCCCTGTGTCCTCTGGTCCTGGCTGCAGTGTGACAGAGCATGGAAGATTCTGGGGTATCTGTGGCAGAGGAAAGAGAAGACTTGAGTCCTTCCAGAAAGCCCCCAGATCTTCCTCCAAATCTCAACTTGCGAGGCTGGAGAGGTTGGGCGCGGTGGCTCACGCCTGTAATCCCAGCACTTGGGAAGGCCGAGGTGGGCGGATCACCTGAGGTCAGGGGTTCTAGACCAGCCTGACCAACATGGCGAAACCCTATCTCTACCAAAAATACAAAATGAGTCGTGTGTGGTGGCGCACGCCTGTAATTCCAGCTACTCAGGAGGCTGAGGCATAAGAATCGCTTGAACCCAGGAGGCAGAGCTTGCAATGAGCCAAGATTGTGCCACTGCACTCCAGCCTGGGCGACAGAGTGAGACTTTGTCTCAAAAAAAAAAAGAAAAAGAGGCTGGAGAAAGGACTCCTGGGGATGAGAAAGGAGGAAGGAAGGGACCCAGAGAGAAGGCAGATAATCAAGGGCTTCCTGAATGCATGGGGACCCTGAAGGGAGGTGGATCTAGGGTCCCTGCCTCACTGTTTCTTCCAGATCTGTCCATAGCGGTGCCTTACCCCCACCCCAGACACAGTCCCAGCCCAGGCCCCTGGCCCTCAGAGGGCAGGGGCATCCTCACGGTGAAGAAGAAGGGGTGTGCATGCTGGCCAAGCTTCCTCAGCAGCCGGTCCTGCAGGCGGGTGGCAGGCCGGGGCGGGTTGGGCACCGGGGGGAAGGCCTGGTAGGTGGCGATGAACAGGTCTTTACGGAAGGACAAGCCCAGCACATCCAGGTCTTCACGGCCATAGCGGAAGGCGCAGGTGAGGGTCACAAACACTGGCAAGGGAGGGTAAGATGTGTGGTCAGGAGCCCCGCTTCCCCAGTCCCCCAGCACCTCGCAGCCGCTGCTCCTCCCTCAGCAGCATAAGACTTGCCTGAACCCTACTCCTGGCTTCCACCTCCAGCCTCCATCTCTCTGGGGTGCCCTTCCAAGGCCAGCCCATTTCACTTCCCTAGCCCCCACTTCCCCTGAGCCCCCGGACTTGGGGCCAGTACCTTTGCGGTCCTTCAGGTAGTCAGGGTCCACAAGCACCACGCCATCTAGGAGGGGGACACACCAGCTCACTTCCGGAAAGAGCCGCCGCCCCCTTTCCTGGGCCCGGGAACTTCTTCCCCTCTTGGGGAACGAGCTGCTCCTTTCTGAGAACACTTACCTACAGGGTCCACCTTGTCCAGGTGATCTACGAAGTCCCGCTTGCCCAAGTACACGGTGAGCTGAGGATGTCAAGGGGTCACAGGGGAGATTGGGGAGGATGGTGACAGGGCATCGGAGCCCTCAAAACTGGCTGCCCTGCCCGGGGATCTCCAGGCTGGGCTATCAGGAAGGAGTTTCTCCAGCTTTCCTCCCAACAGTGTTGGAAAGTGAGGGTGGCGGCGTTTCTCAGACTAGTGGACCTTAACGCTTTTTAGCTGCTCCCTAATCTCTGCACACCTCTGCCCACCAGCCCGGTGTGTGTGTGTGTGTGTGTGTTTGTGTGTGTGTGTGGCCTCAGCCCACCCAGTCAGGTGTGCATGTGAACATGTATGTGCATGTGTGTCTGTGTGTGTGTGTTTGCATCCTCAGGGAGGACTCAGCCCAACCAGCGAGGTGTGTTTGTGTGTGTCTGTGTGTGTGTGTGTGTGTTTGCATCCTCAGCCAGCCAGAGGGGTGTGTGTCCGTGTGTCTATGTGTGTGTGTCTTTGGATCCTCAGGGAGAACTCAGTCCTACTAGCCAGCTAGAGAGCAGCTGCCACCCTCACGAGGTCCCCTCAAGGGGCTCTAGGATCAATAAGCCATAGCCTGGGTGGGGGCTGTTAACTTTTCCCAGCCCCACGCACCTTGGGTTGGGCCCTAGGAGGGCTACAGGCACATGGCTTGCTTCTGGCCGCCTCCTCTGTGATCTGCTTGGGGACCCAGGCCTGCCCCACCCAGCCTGTGGCTGGCTCAGGCTGAGCAGCCTCTGCGGCAAGGGGCTTCAGGAGGAAAGGAAGTCGGCTCTTAGCTGTCACAGGAAGTGGGGAGCTAGGGGTTGGGGATCATCTTTGGGCAGGCTGGGGATCGTCTAGGGGAAGGCCGGGCTTTGTTGGGGCCCAGGGAGGGTCGAAAGGGTAAGTGCTGTGGAGACTCACCTTGCAGTTAGGGCTCGACTTCTTGAAGACCCTAACAAAACAGAAAGGGAAACCCCACTGCCTCCCTCAGACTCAGCAGGGACCCCACACCAGGACCCTCTCCCTCCCAGGCCTCCTGCCTGAGGCTGCAGGGCTTTGCCCAGCTCTGCCCCTTTCCCCTTCTTCCCGGAAGGTCCTTCCTATTTCTAACATGGCGGCAAGGGGAAATGCCCCTCTCTTGTCCACCCTCCTTCGTCCCCGTCCCTCCCTAGTAATGGCCACTGGTTGCCCTAGGAACCACCCAGGCTCTTCCCAGAGGACCAGAATGGGCAGGTTGCCGCAGTGTCTGGGTAAGACCTAACCATCTTTCCATCTGGTCTACAGCGCTGACCGCTGGAGCATAGAGGAGAGCAATGACCCTGGCCTTTGGCCCTAGATGGTTTCTACCATAGGCCCTACCCAAGTTTGACTCTACTCTACTCACCTCCAACTGTCCCCAACTCCGACCTCAACAGCTTAAAAGCCTATTTGAACGCCCAGCCTTTAGGAAGCTGACCCAGCCCAGACTCTGGTCACTCCTTGTTTTGGGTTCCTGTCACACCTTGTTGATGTTTTACTTGTGGTGTGGTAGCACACACGGACAGTTAGCTGCCTCCCTCCTCAGACTGTGAGCCTCGGAGGCCTTATTCATTTACGCATCTCCAGCACAGTGCCACCCAGATCATGAAGATGCTAATGCTGCTAACATTCAGAGTGACTTCTCCATGCCCAGCACCGTTCCACGTGTTTCAAATGTGTCATCTCTTGTAATACTCTGTTGTTTGAGACGGAGTCTCGCTCTGTTGCCCAGGCTGGAGTGCAGTGGCGCAATCTCAGCTCACTGCAACCTCCGCCTCCCAGATTTAAGTGATTCTCCTGCTTCAGTCTCCCAAGCAGCTGGGATTACAGGCGTGAGCCACCACGCCCAGGTATGTTTTGTATATATATATTTTTTGAGACGGAGTCTCGCTCTATCACCAAGGCTGGAGTGCAGTGGCACGCTGTCAGCTCACTGCAACCTCCACCTCCTGGGTTCAAGCGATTCTCATGCCTCAGCCTCCTGAGTAGGTGGGATTAGAGGTGCCTGCCATCATGTCTGGATAATTTTTTATTTTTTTGAGATGGAGTCTTGCTCTGTCGCCCAGGCTGGAGTGCAGTGGCGCAATTTTGGCTCACTGCAACCTCTGCCTCCCAGGTTCATGCCATTCTCCTGCCTCAGCCTCCCGAGTAGCTGGGACTACAGGTGCCCACCACCACGCCCGGCTAATTTTTTGTATTTTTAGTAGAGACGGGGTTTCACCGTGTTAGCCAGGACGGTCTTGATCTCCTGACCTCGTGATCCGCCAGTCTCGGCCTCCCAAAGTGCTGGGATTACAGGTGTGAGCCACTGCGCCTGGCTGCTAATTTTTATATTTTTAGTATAGATGGGGTTTCCCTATGTTGGCCAGGCTGATCTCGAACTCCTGACCTCAAGTGATCCGCCCGCCTCAGCCTCCCAAAGGGCTGGGATTACGGGCTTGAGCCACTGCGTCTGGCCTGTATTTTGTAGTTTTTTAGTAGAGACAAGGTTTCCCCAAGTTGGCCAGGCTGATCTCCAACTCCTGACCTCAGGTGATGCACCCGCCTCAGCCTCCCAAAGTGCTGGGATTACAGGCGTGAGCCACCACGCCCGGCCTTAGGTTGCAGTGAGCCAAGATTGCGTCACTGCACTCCAGCCTGGGTGACAGAGCAAGACTCCATTTCAAATAAATAAATAAATAAATAAATAAATAAATAATAAAATAAAATAAAACTACCCAGTGATGGAGGTCCTAATGTCTCTATTTTCCAGGTGAGGAAACTGAGGCAGAGAGAGGTTAAGTATTTTAAGGTCACAGAGAGAGTAAATGGTGGGAATTAATAGAAACCAAGGCGGTCTGGCTCCGAGTCCATCCTCTCAATCAATATTACACTATCCGTCTCTGTAGCTGGCATCAATAGTTTGTTCAATTGAAGGGTATTCGCTTTCCAGTTGCTGAAACAATTTAAGCCTGGACTCCACCCACTGCTGGGAGGGTAAGGAAGTGTTTGGCAATCCCAGTGATATGGCCAATTGTGAGCCTATTCTTTGAAGCATCACCTTACTCCTTCCAATCCACTCTGCCTCAGCAGTGATCCCTGGAAAGGATCCTCAGATAGACAGCAGAACGTGAAATCCTGCCAACTAGCCCATCCCTCCTCCAACTCTACCACCCCATTCCCAGAGGACCCCAATGGGCAGGTTGCCGCAGTATCTGGGTAAGACTTAACCATCTTTCCATCTGGTCTACAGCTCTGACAGCTGGAGCATATAGGAGAGCAATGACTCTGGCCTTTGGCCCTAAATGGTTTCTACCATAGGCCCAGTTTCTGCTACAACTTCACTTGTCCCTTCTTCCCAGAAAGCCAAGCTGTCCAAAGATTATAAGGTAAAGGGTATGGAGGCCCCCAGGTATTCCTAACCAATAAAAGAGAATAAACATCGATACGGTGGCAGCTAGAATAAACATCCTATCTTTTGTCCCAACTTGGGGGCTGAGTGCTGTGGCATCATCCAGGCTCTCCCTCCCCTTTGCTTCTGGTTTTCCTCTTTGTCCCAGGGTGTCCTCCCATTAGGAGCCCTGGCACAGGGCTGTGACAGCCACAGTCAGTGGGCCAACTGTAGTGTGGCTCTGGGGCAACTGCCCTGGAGCAGCTGCAAGGCACCTGCCCTTTGGATCCTAACCCAGCCACCTCCTGCCAGGCTGAGGAGGAGCAGCGTGCAGATACTAGGCTGGCCAAGGAGGCAGAGTGTGGGGATGACCAGGGAGGTGCCCAATGGGGGCAGGGGTAGCTGAAGCAGATGTCCTTTCACACTTCCTGCTATTCTCTCCATTTCCTGTGGCCCAGAATTTGATGGAGGTGAGGGAAATTGGGTCAAGTCAGCAGTCCCCTTTGGTCCATCTGTCCCACTCCTTGAACCACATAACGGAAATCAGGGGCCTCCCACAAGGCAGCAACTTCCCCTTTCTCTGGGATGTTTAAACCCTAATCCAGGATACCGATCATCTCTCTGATGATCTCTTTCTGATACTCATCTACTTGACGCTCAGAAACCTGGGTTCTCCTACTCTATAGGTTGGAAGTGGGGTCGATATGATGCTTTGCAGAGCAAGCCAGAGCTCAGGACCAATTCCCTATTCCCGATCCCCTCTGGGTTGAGGCCTACAGCCCCAACCTTTCTGTCTTTTGCTCCTGCTCCCCTGGGACTCAGGCATTCACCCCTTACCCCTTGGGGGTGTTGAGTCACAACAGGAAGTGGATTTTGCTAGAGACCAAAAAAGAGAACTCGGGGTATCAGTGGAAGGAAAGAGCCTCGATTGCACAGAAAACATCCGGGGAGTGGACGCGCGCCCAGCGTGAATACTGCCTCCCCCACCCCCAGGGAGAGGGATCCGATCTAGTTTCAGGAAGGGTCAGGCTCTCCCAAGATGAAGCTGTTGCTCCTGGCAACCCAGGGGAAGGTAGAAGTTTGGATGAGGAGCCACCCGGCCCTCGGGACAGGTGTGGGCAGCGCGACTACCTGGGGGATATTGGACAGGAGGCTTTGCATTGGCTTGGCACGAGTCTGGAGGGGATCCCCCTCCCAGCATCCAGCCTCCCCGTACACGACCCCTCGGGGCCAGCCACCTGCTCCTCCCTCCGTCCCTGCATCGCAGCCTGCCCAGACTCCTGGGCACGGGAGAGCCCAGTAGTCTGGCCCCACATCCCTGAGAGAACCCCGACACCGGTTTTTCTGATCCCCCTCCGGCCTCGCTTTCTGCAGGGGCCCGGGCATTTCCCCCCAACCTCATTATCCTCGAGGACCTGCGCGTGCGGCCCCGGATGGCTGTCCCTAGGGACCCAGGCGTCCGGCCCCCAGATCCTCTCCGCGGCGTCCTCGTCTGGGACCGTCCCAGCCCCCGCCCCGAGCCGCCGCCCATGCCCCGCCGCGTGGCCCCACCTCCCTTACCTGGTCCCGGGTTTCTCCCCCATGGTGCGCGCGCCCGCCGCCCGCTCGGTTCGCGGCTCGCTCGCAGCCTCCTCGCCCGCTGCCAAGATCCCTGCTCCTCCCCGCGCCAATGCGCACGCGCGCCCTCCGCGCTCTCGCCTCTTCCCCCTCCCTCCCGGCCCGGCTCTGGTCTGGGGGAACCGGGGCCAGATGCGTCAGCCGGATCGCGCGCGCCGCGGCGCTGCCCGCCCTCTCCTAGCAGACACACGGGGCCATTGGCTCCGCCCCCAACCCTTCGCGTTCCGTCCCAGCCGGGGAGCCCTCCCCCGCGCGCGGGGCCCGCTCCCGCTCTTCCCGCCCATCTCCCCGCCCCGCCGCAACCCCTTGAAACCGATTGGGCCCCCCTAAACCAAGGCTCCCGCCTTCCAGGGGATCTAAGTCTTTCGATTGGCCCTCGGCATCCAGAACCTTTAGGGGTCTCCTCCCCTTTGTTTGCTTTCTCAGTGGCGGTGGGGGCGACCGGGCTGTTGGGGGCGGTGGAATGAGCTGAAGCGCCGTCTGGGAAGGAGGATGGTGGGGGGGAACACGTGGGTGAGCAGTTCAATTGCGTGATACTTGCTTCAGTGCGCGCAGCTCACCTGCTCCACGCGGAGCGTACCGCCTTCTGTGGCCAGCCCTCCCGCTTCTTCACCGCAGCGTGTCAGCTCCTCCTGGTGTCTACATTTGATCTTCGCAGGGTTCCCTTTTCCAATGTCTGACTCTCCATCTCCTTCACCCACCCATCCCAGCTAACATCCACTCACTCACTCGCTCGCACCCATCGGTCCATCTATCGACCCACCCATCCGCGCCTATTTTATGCTATTTACTATGCCAATCGATGGGGACACATATGAATTACCATGGCCCCTGACTTCCTAGAATAGTTGAGGAGACACATACACAGGTATTACCCAGGAATGCTATTACAGAGGTCTGAGTCAGAAGACACAGCCACTAACAGCGCTCGGCCCGGGCGGGGGTGGAGCGGAGAACATATGAGGACAGTCTTTCTGAAGGATGTGCAGAAGTTTTTTTTCGTTTTCTTTTTTTTGAGATAGAGTCTCGCTCTGTTGCCCCGGCTGGAGTGCAGTGGCGCGATCTCGGCTCACTGCAACCTCCGCCTCCCAGGTTCAAGCACTTCTCTGCTCAGCCTCCCAAGTAGCTGGGATTACAGGCGCCTGCCACAATGCCTAGCTACTTTTCATATTTTTAATAGAGACAAGGTTTCATCATGTTGGCCTTGCTGGTCTCAAATGCCTGACCTCGTGTTCCACCCGCCTCAGCCTCCCAAAGTGTTGGGATTACAGGCGTGAGCCACCGTGCCGGGCCGGGCAGAAGTTAAGACAGGGCATTCCAAAGAGAAAGACAAGGCACATCCTGTTGTGTGGTGTTGGTGGGGAAGCCTGGAACAGGTTGTGGAGGATTTTGTATAGCAGATGAAGGAGCGAGACTGAGGGCCCCACAGAAGGACACGAGGAACCAGTAGTGGTTTTTAAAGCAGAGGGGGCCGCGTGCAGTGGCTCACACCTGTAGTCCCAGTACTTTGGGAGGCCGAGGTGGGCTGATCACCTGAGGTCAGGAGTTCGAGACCACTCTGGCCAACATGTTGAAATTTAGGCTATAATCCCAGCTACTCATGAGGCTGAGGCAGGAGAATCACTTGAACCTGGGAGGCAGAGGTTGCAGTGAGCTGAGATCGTGCCATTGCACTCCAGCCTGAGTGACAATAGCGAAACTTCATCTCAAAAACAAACAAAACAAACAAAAAACCTCCAAAAACCCAAAAATGAGCCAAGTATAGTGACTAGTGCCTAGAGTCCCAGGTACTAGGGAGGCTGAGGTGGGAGGATCGCTTGAGCTGGGAGGTCAAGGCTGCAGTGAGCTGTGATCGTGCCACTGCACTCCCGCCTGGGGAAATATCTTTTCAGCACCTTTTATGTACCAGGCACTCTTCTAGGTGATGGGAAGAGCATAGTGTAGGAGACAACAGCCCTTTCATGGAGTTTGTATTTTAGACAAAAGAGATAGTTAATACATAAGAAAGCAAATAAAGTTCTGGTAATGACATGAATTATAAGCAGGGAAATGTGATGGAGGCTGATGGGGGTTGGAGTGGGAGCTATCTGAAAAGAAGCCCTCTCAGGATGGCAAGATAGTGTCAGTTACATAGGATCAAAGGACAGTTTCTCCAGCAGAATCAGCAACATGTGCAAAGGTTCTGATGTGGGAATGGGTTTTGCTGGAGAATAGAAAGAAGCCTAGTTTGGCTCAAGAATAGAAAGAGAGAAGGAAAGTTGTACTTGTGGTATGTGTTGAGGTCAGGGAGGTGGGTATGAGTCAGATTGGGTGGATTCTTGTAGGCATCAGTGAGAAGATGGGATTTCATTCTCATCACATTTGGAAGCCACAGAGGGGTTTAAGCAAGGAGTGACAAGAACTGGTTTACATTTGAAAAGACCACTTTGGTTGCTGTGTGAAGGGACTACAAGGGTGCTAAGAGGGAAGCAGAGAGTAATGAAGGCTTTGTAAGAGGCTATTGTAAGAGACTAGGTGAGAGTGAATGGTGATTTGGACCCGAGTGGCAGTGGAGATGCAGAAAAATGAACGCTGTTGGGTTAATGTATTTTGGAGGCAGAATGCCAGGACTTGAAGGATTGGATAAAAGGCAATAAGAGGAAAAATGGGCGAGGTGGGGTGGCTCACACCTGTAATCCCAGGACTTTGGGAAGCTGAGGCTGGCGGATCACTTGAGGTCAGGAGTTTGAGACTAGACTGGCCAACATGGTGAAGCCCCGTCTCTACTAAAAATACAAAAATTAGCTGGGCATGGAGGCGGGTGCCTGTAATCTCAGCTACTTGGCAGGCTGAGGCAGGAGAATCACTTGAACTCAGGAGGCGGAGGTTGCAGTGAGCTGAGATCACACCATTGCACTCTAGCCTGGGTGACAGAGCAAGACTTCTCAAAAAAAAAAAAAAAAAAAGAGGAAAAATGATGACTCTTAGATTTGAAGCTAATAATCACAAAAATACACAAAGATAGAGGTATTAGCATGTTCACTAGCGTTCACATTAGCAAAAAGTTGGAGCAGCCTCGAAATATTAGTTCAGCAATAGAATTATTAAATCATGGTGCACCCATTTCATTCATACCACACAGTTTAAAAAACAGCATAAAGAAGGTCATGAGTGAAAAAAAGCCACACGCAGACCCCAATCTTGTAAAATATTCATTTATGTGCTTGTGCATAGACTAATATTAGGAAAGTATAGACGCTACTGGGGCAGGGCCTTGCGGCGAGGGGCAGTTTTTCTTTTTACTTTATGCCCTTCCATACTGTTTGAATTGGCTTTTGCAAGGCGCACATCTCGTATCATTTCTGAAGTTGCAAATGTAGTTAAAAAAGTCTGTGATTTCAAGTTACCTAGAGAGTTATTGATTCCTGCGCCGGGCGCGGTGGCTCACGCCTGTAATCCCAGCACTTTGGGAGGCCGAGGCGGGCGGATCACAAGGTCAGGAGATCGAGACCACGGTGAAACCCCGTCTCTACTAAAAATACAAAAAATTAGCCGGGCGCGGTTGTGGGCGCCTGTAGTCCCAGCTACTCGGGAGGCTGAGGCAGGAGAATGGCGGGAACCCGGGAGGCGGAGCTTGCAGTGAGCCGAGATCGCGCCACTGCACTCCAGCCTGGGCGACAGAGCGAGACTCCGTCTCAAAAAAAAAAAAAAAAAGAGAGAGAGTTATTGATTCCTACAGCGAAGATGTCCCGAGACTCCGTTCGCTAAATGGAAATCGTTCGGACTTTGGCGCCTTTTGTCCGGACCACGTGTACCTTAAACATCACAGGACCGCCTCGGACACGCTCACCCGCCATCACTCCAGGAACCCAGCACCCCGGTGCCTCGGCGCCCAGACTGCTCTCGCCGCGCATGCTCCTTCCCAGCCTGAGCCCGCGAGTCCAGCCTGCCTTCATCCAGTGCGCAGGACCGCAGCCCCCTCCCCACGCCCACTCCCCAGTAGGCGGCCGTCGCGGTGTGTTTACGTCATCGCGCCACGCCACCACTGGAGCCCGGGGGAAGATGGCGGCAGCCGTTCTGAGTGGGTCCTCTGCGGGCTCCGCGGCTGGGGTTCCTGGCGGGACCGGGGGTCTCTCGGCAGTGAACTCGGGCCCGCGGCTCCGCCTGCTGCTGCTGGAGAGTGTTTCTGGTTTGCTGCAACCTCGAACGGGGTCTGCCGTTGCTCCGGTGCATCCCCCAAACCGCTCGGCCCCACATTTGCCCGGGCTCATGTGCCTATTGCGGCTGCATGGGTCGGTGGGCGGGGCCCAGGTGAGTCCGTGGCCCGCGTGCCGGCGGCCCTGTGGGGAGGTTGGCGCGGCACCTGTGCACCGGGATTGCGGTGCAGTGCAAGTGCGATAGGAAGGTTGAGGGAAGGAGAGCTGCGGGCAGAAAGGGGATCCAGGTATCATTCCGGACGGGACGCACGTATTTCTCCTTCATCGGCCCTGAGTTTCTCCAGGGGAAAAATGGGCCTTATTTTTCTGTTGTTAGTCTATTGGTCGGCACACAGGAATCGATTAGGTTCCAGGCCCAGTCACTCACTAGTTGTATAATCTAAAAACCTCTTTTTCCTCTGGCAATATCTGTTTCGGGGATTGTTTTGACGGACTTAATGACGCATTCAACAATAAACATTTTCCGACCTCTTACTGAGGGTCAGATACTGTACTAGGCGCTCCGGTTACAGACGTGGTGGCGATATACAAAATGCTGCGAAACAAGATGAGAATTGAATATCAGGGATCTCTAACCTTATCTGAAGACTGACAGAGATTTTCCAAAGGAACCGGCGTTTAAGCTGAGACCCTAAGGATGAATAGGGGTTGTAGGGAAAAAAAGATGGGAGGGGCTGTTCAGTCAGAGGAGAGCTCATGTGGGAAGGCCCTGTGGTAGGAAGGAACTGGAAAGAAGGACATCGTTCCTGGGGCTCAGATGTGGAGGGGAAGAGAGTCGGTGCAGATGAGACTGGTGAGGTCGGTAGGCAGTGGCCGGGTCATGCAGAGCGTTTTAGGCCGGATTAGGAGCCTTTGGACTTCTATAAGAATGGAATCTGATATCCATTCAGTTCTGCAAGCTAGACACTCAAGAAATTCTAAACTCTTCTTCATACACCTCCATATGCAATCTGTCAAGTCCTGTTGATTTTATCCTTTGAGTAGTTTTCAGATCTGTCCACTCTTCCATATCTTTCTCATTGCCCCCAGTCTAGCTCGAACCCGCCATCTTGTCCAGGTGAAAGCACTGATTCTAAGAAGGCATATTTCTAGCCCATAATAGCTGCTGCTTTAACAATCTCCTGTCCTCCTCCCTCTCCCACTAAACCTCCCCCAAATTCTACCTATCTTTCAAGACCCATGTACAGGAGATCTTCTGTGTCCACCCTTCTTTCCTGGGACCTTCCCAGCTCTGTGCTAGCTTCCAGGAAGACGGTTGTCACAGCCTGCTGGGTGGTTCAATAACCTTAGCCCCGGATTTATCACAGCTAACCCTATCTGTTTGTCTTTAACATTACTCTGCATAGTTGAGGGTGACAAGACTATATCTCTGCTATCTCAGCCCAGTATCAGAGGCTGGAGCTGATTATGTATTTTCTCTTCTCTCTAAATTCTCCTCTTCTAATTTATGTGGTTTTCATCAGTCAGTTATATTACAGCGGGGTTTTTTTTTTTTTTTTTTTTTTTTCTGTTTTCTTTATCTCACTATAGTCCCAGAATTTTTTTCTTTTTTCTTTTTTTTTTTTTTGAGACAAGGTCTTACTCTGTCACCCAGGTTGGAGTGCAGTGGCATGATCTTGGCTCACTGCAACCTCCATTTCCCAGGCTCAAGGGATCCTTCCACCTCAGCCTCCAGAGTAGCTGGGACCACAGGCACGCGCCACAGTGCCCGGCTAATTTTTGTATTTTTGGTAGAGACGGGGTTTTGCCATGTTGCTCAGGCTGGTCTCAAACTCCTGAGCTCAAGCGATTCACTTGCCTTTGCTTCTCAAAGTGCTGGGATTAGAGGCATGGGCCACCATGCCTAGCCCCCCCAGAAATTTTTTTAATAAATATTTGTGAAATATTACCTATCCTGCCTATAAATATGTGATTTCTGTCATCTCTTTCAGGACTTCCTCTCTTCCCTCAAAGTCAACTAGATGAACTTAATGTCTTGCTTATTTTTCTTAAATGTCTGAAGTCTAGTAGAATTTTGAGTAAAGAAGCTAAGAGATGTGGGAAACTAGGGCCCCACTTTAATATTTCCTGTGCTACATTTTTAGATACATCCTGCCTTGAATTTTTTTTCCACTTGTGTTCTTTGAATTGGATCCTCAATACATGGGATTATGTGGAGGGTTTCCTTTCCTTCCCCACAGGTTTCATTCAGCAAACATTTATCGAGTATCTGCTATGTTTTAGGTACTGTTTCTCGTGTCTAGGTAGACAAATAAGACATGGTCCTTTCTCTCAGAGAATTCCGAGTCTAGCTAAGATGAGAAATGAAAGTCAGCAAATAGGCCTGGCGCGGTGGCTCACACCTGTAATCCCAGCACTTTGGGAGGCCGAGGCGGGCGGATCACAAGGTCAGGAGATCGAGACCACGGTGAAACCCCGTCTCTACTAAAAATACAAAAAATTAGCCGGGCGCGGTTGTGGGCGCCTGTAGTCCCAGCTACTCGGGAGGCTGAGGCAGGAGAATGGCGGGAACCCGGGAGGCGGAGCTTGCAGTGAGCCGAGATCGCGCCACTGCACTCCAGCCTGGGCGACAGAGCGAGACTCCGTCTCAAAAAAAAAAAAAAAAAGAAAGTCAGCAAATAGACCTGGAGCTTGCGAGCAAGGGGGATCCACTGTTTGATCATCTACCTGCCAACTTGTCTTTGCCACAGGTGCTGCAAGTTCAGTAGTTCCAAAATGGAACCATCCTAGCACAGTGCTCCGTATCTAGCTTGGAGTATATTATAGCAACAATCTTCTAACGGGTCTCCTTGACTTCAGTCTTACCCTCTTTAATCCTAGCTGGAGTGAGCTTTCTAAAGTAAAATTCTGATCCTGTTTGCAGCTTTTAAAAATCCTTCAGCCTGTGGGCGTTCTTTCCGCAGAGCCTTTGTACTTACTGTTCTCCTCTTGGAATCCCTCTCTGTGCAGCGCTCTCCCCCCAACGCCCATCCTCGTTCCCAGTCTTCTCAATTTGCTTATTTGTCACTGCCTTTGGGATAGATTTCTTGGCCACCTATGATTGACTGCTCTTTATCCTACTGTTTGTTTACTTATTTCACATATGCTTACATCCTGTCTCCCCTACACTCGACAAGTCTTTGATTTGTTTTTGTATGTAATTAATAAAACTTATGTAAAATTTCAGACATAAACAAGTAATATTTTCACCACCCCACCCTATGCTGCCCCCATCACCCAAATTTAACAGTGAACACTTGCCAGTGTTGTTTCATTCCTCCCATACCTTGGCTTTTTTTTTTTTTTTTTTTTTTTGGTGGAACTTTTCTTTTTCTTTCTTTTTTTTTTTTTTTTGAGATAGGGTCTTACTCTAACACAGGCTGGAGTGTAGTGGCCAGAATATGGCTCACTGCAGCCTTGGCCTCGACCTCCCAGGTTCAAGTGATCCTTCCACCTCAGCCTCCTCAGTAGCTGGAGGTGTGCTACCACCCCGGCTAATCAAAAAAAAAATTTTGTAGAGATAGGGGCTCTCTATGTTGTCCAGGCTGGTCTTGAACTCCTGGACTCAAGTGATCCTCCTGCCTTGGCCCCCCAAAATCCTGGGATTACAGAGGTGAACCACTGTGCTCAGCCTGGTGGGCCATTTTAAAGCAAATTCCCGAATGTCATTTATCCTGTATATTCTTTTGAAGGACAGAGACAGTGTCTTGTTCTGTCTTCTACGCCTCAGCCTCCTGAGGGGGGAAGGGATTACAGGCCCCCGCCACCATACCCAGCCATTTTTGTATTTTTAGTAGAGACGGAGTTTCACCATGTTGGTCAGGCTGGTCTCGAACTCCTGACCTCAAGTGATCCTCCCCCCGCTCGACCTCCCAAAGTGCTGGGAATACAGGCATGAGCCACCACACCCGGCCACTTTTTGTCATATTTTAGAGTGTACTCCTACTCAAATAAAAAAATCTTCTGCCTCAGCTTCCCAAAATGTTGGGATTACAGGGATGAGCCACTGCACCTGGCCTCGCTTTCTGTTGGATCATTTTCATCAGCACACAGCTCAAAACTCCACCCTTGGCCAGGCGTGGTGGCTCACGCCTGTAATCCCAGCACTTTGGGAGGCCAAGGTGGGTAGATCACAAGGTCAGGAGTTCAAGACCAGCCTGGCCAAGGTGGTGAAACCCTGTCTCTACTAAAAATACAAAAATTAGCGGGGTGCAGTGGCAGGCATCTATAATCCTGTATTCCCAGTACTCAGGAGGCTGAGTCAGGAGAATGGCTTGAACTCAGGGGGCGGAGGTCGCAGTGAGCCGAGATGGTGCCTCTGCACTCCAGCCTGGGCAACAGAGTAAAACTCCGTCTCAAAAAGAAAAAAAAAAATCACCCTCTAGGGCCGGGTGCAGTGACTCATATCTGTAATCCCAGCACTTTGGGAGGCTGAGATGGGTAGATCATTTGAGGCCAGGAGTTCGAGACCAGCCTGACCAACATGGCGAAATCTCATCTCTACTAAAAATACAAAAATTAGCTGGGTGTGGTGGCACAAACCTGTAATCTCAGCTACTCAGGAGGCTGAGGCAGGATAATTGCTTGAGTCTGGGAGGCAGACATTGCAGTGAGCCGAGATTGCGCCTGTGAACTCTGGCCTGGGCAACAGAGGGAGACTTTGTCTCAAAAAACAAATCACCCTCTAGCTACTGCCCCATTTGCCATTTGTGTACTTCCTTTTATGGCAAAAACTCCTTAAAAGTGCTATCTGTACTTTTTGTCTCTCATTCTTTTAGCATTACTTTGAAATAACTGAAAATTTACAGAAAAGTTGGAACAATATTTGAAAGAATTTAAATATATACTCTTCTCTTAGATTCTCCATTTTTTTTTTTTTTTTGAGGAGTCTCAGCTCACTGCAACCTCCGCCTCCCGGGTTCAAACGATTCTCCTGCCTTAGCCTCCCAAGTAGTTGGGATTACAGGCCTGTGCCACACACCCTAGTAATTTTTGTATTTTTAGTAGAGACTGGATTTTGCTCTGTTGGCCAGGCTGGTCTTGAACTCTTGACCTCAAGTGATCCACCTGCGTTGGCCTCTCAAAGTGCTGGGATTACAGGCCTGAGCCACCATG